ACCTCTACGACTACCGTATCAGTACCGCCCTGTGTTGCAGAATATGTTATGGTGGAGGTAGTATTCCCTAACCAAGTTGAAGTCACAGTAGTTTTCAGATTAGATGGAACCTCGACGACTACTGTGTCAGTACCGCCTTGAGCAGCTGAGTTGGTTAGTGTTGAAGTCGTATTTCCTAACCATGTTGAAGTCAAAGTCGTTTGCAGATTAGATGGGACCTCTACGACTACCGTATCAGTACCGCCCTGTGTTGCAGAATATGTTATGGTGGAGGTAGTATTCCCTAACCAAGTTGAAGTCACAGTAGTTTTCAGATTAGATGGAACTTCGACGACTACTGTATCAGTGCCACCCTGTGTGGCAGAATAGATTATTGTTGACGTAGAATTTCCTGACCATGTGGAAGTTGCCGTCATTTCAAAGTTTGAAGGTACAAATACAACTACTGTGTCAGTTTCACCAGGACTTTCATAGGCTGTTCGGGTAAATGTATAATTTTGATCCCAAGTTGTGGTGAGCCAAGTTTGAGCGTTACTTGGAATTTCCACATATACAATATCTGTTCCGCCTATTGGAGCTAGCGATGTCCAAGTAGTTGTATGACGACCAGCAAAAGTAGTTAAAACTGTCTTTCTGTTATTCGATGGAGTACTTTCGGGAGCTAAAGCGCAAGTCTCAATCCAAAACCACCAACATAAATTAAAAAACATCTTACTTACTTATTGGAATTCCTCTTTTACTCATGAATGGTTGATTTTGGCTGATACGTTAACCTTACTGATAATTCCCAGTATTTCAATTAAATGATGTAAATCATTATAAATAGTCGTGCTAGATGTTTGCAGTGGGGTAAATTTTTCAGGTATGATATGCCACTGGACATCAGGTTGCACACATTAATTAAGAATAAGAAATTGTACATATAATACATTGCAATTGATGTGCGCAGAAGAGCCCTAATGTACTTAATTAACAGGATAAGGTAAAATACATTCCCAAAGTTGACGTAATAAAATCTTTTAAACGGCAATTTTGTTTATGAATGCAAACAGAAAAATTCTGATCGTTATCATAGCACGGCAAAGAGTAAAGATACCACTGGACCACTAATACATGCAAATGATTAGCGGCTCGGTAATAAAGGATGGAGTACTTCTCATTCTAGGCTTGCAATGAACGTCGTGAAAATGCCGATACTCAATATGTGTATTAGAGTAAGAATTTTGGACAGAAGCTCAGAACAACAGGCAGAAGCTACTCCTTTTCTTAGAGTGCTAGGCAATTGATAACCTTTCTGCTTTTTTCTCGGCTACAAGTAATTGAAATTTTTCTATTGTGTTAGATTTCTATTTTGCACATCTGGGCTTAAATCACTCTACTCGCTAATTGTTCATGTGGACACTCTAAAGCTTAAATCCTTTGTAATTGAAAAATGTCTCAAATTCATTGGAGATGCTAGGCATTAGTGCATTGGATTCGGCTATGAGGTGGAGGGAGTATGTATAGAATTGGTAGTTAATGTAGATCGTTTATTTAATTACCATTCAGACATTTGATGGTATAGCATGGAGGTATCTTGAGTAGTGTGCGCTAGCGATCCATTGCATGCGCGGAAAGTGAACTCGATACGATATCATAGTTAAATGGCTTGAATTGATTGAATCAGCTTCTTTCAACACTGATTTTTTTTCTCATAAGTATTAACTCTAGGACAGATATGAGCCAAACATATTCAACTGTGCAGGCAACTTTAGCCTGAAACAGGCGTTGCCGAACGAAGCATCTTCTAGGAGAATAACCTCGTTTCTAATGCAAAAAAAAAAAAGAAAAGAAAATTTGATAATGGTAGAAGTATGGCTCTTAATGGAAGTTCATGGCTTTATTTTTTAAATCCCGCCAAAAAAATGGCTGATGGCTTCGTACATTTTGTTCTATACATAAAGTTTGATTGTTATTGCACTGTTTATTTTTTGGCAAGTTTTTTTTCACCTTTCAAGATATTCAAGTTCAACATTAAAGCATCTAATTGTGAAAGAAGGGAAGGTATGGTTAGTATGTGTTCCAACAGATTCGTAAAATTGTGTATAGGCTCTGAAGGTTGTATTTTGTCTTTCGGATATAGTTCACGGACCGGACCGATTTCGGATCTCGAGACTGTAAACCCTTTTTCGATGTTAGAAGAAAGCCTAACTCCAAATTCCGGAGATTTTTCCGCATTCAATCCGTTCATTCTTTGACAGAAGCTGTGTCAATGGTTCATTGACAGGAGATAAAACGGATCAATGCATGAGATATGCAATGCACGAATGTTCCACCGTATAATAGACACCGCAGTTTCCTTATATATAAATAGCATCGATTATTGGCTTTATATTTCAGAATCTTACTTTAACAATTTTTATTACATACACTAAAGTCAAAGCCAAAGATAGAATAAATGACTATAGAGAATATTGATCCTAAATTATTCACCAGCATCAAAGTTGGCCCGTATCTTTTGAACTCAAGAATAACTATGTGCCCTTTATCCAGGTTAAGGGCAACTAATGACCATTTACCTTCGCAGTTGAATCTTGAATACTATGATGAACGTTCCAAAATACCTGGGTCATTTCTCGTGACTGAATCGACTGCAATTACCGATAAGTTTGGAGCTATTTCTCATATGCCTGGAATATGGAACGCTCAGCAGACCCAAGGTTGGTCTAAGATTGTTGAAAAGGTTCATGAAAACAAGTCTTATATATTTTTGCAACTTGGAGCGCATTTGAAAACACAACCTTTGTGTTATATGTCATTGAAAAAATGGAATCCTCCTAATGTAGTTGAAGAGTATGAAGAGCTTTTTGCGAATGCAGTCTTGAATGCAATTAGTGGAGCCAAATTTGATGGTGTTGAAATTGCACCATATCAATATTGTGCCTTTTTGTTAAAGAGAAATGTTGATGAAGGAGATAGATTGAAACTCATCTCTAGATTTTGTCACTTTTTAAAGGACAAGATTGCTCCTGTTGTTGGATTAGAAAATATGAACAGGGTTGGACTAAAGATATCAATACTCAGCCAAGAGGAACAGATATTTTTGGTTAAAAAGTTAAATGAGGTTGGGTTGCTGCATTTGGCGTACCTATCCATTACAGAATTAAGGCTCACAAACTTACATGTAGACAGTGACGCTTCATTAGGATCAAATGATTGGATTCGTGAAGAGTGGAATGGAACAGTAATTAGAATGGGTGGATACCTTGATAATATTGCTAAACTAAACATTGACATTCTTGCAAATGATAAGACATTAATAGGAGTTGGAAGGTACTACTCTTCCAATCCTAATTTGATTAATCAGCTTAAAAACGGAGATCCATTAAAAGATTACAATCGTTTAACATTTTATACCAACACTTCCGTGGGATACTTACACTGGCTTGAAGAGGAACTGTCTGAGAATCATTTCAAGCACCAAGGACCAGTGTCTATTTTAGAAAAATCTTAAAGAGTATAGAAAAATCATGTAGAGAAGTCATGCCTAGCTTCATAGAATTACTACTTTAACTTTTAAGGGAACATGTTGGAATTCACTAAATAAATGGAAACAAAATATAAATGCATCAGCTTTGTAAAGAAATATCTTCGAGAACCTCAAAGAGTGACAATATTCGATTTTGAATCATCGTACTTAACCTTAGCTAAGGATACAGAAGGATTTTCAACATCATAGACAAGATAAGCATGTCTTAAGAAATCATCTCCAAGAATTTCATCTCCAGGAGCAGCAGATCTTATCCTAAGAATACAGAGGAAGCCAGTATTCATAATAAATTCAGAAATAGGAATGTCAATGGAAATACCGTCAAAGTTAAAAGCAACCGATCCCGATGTGCCACAATCTACCACGGGGTAACCGTTAATGTTGAAAAATGTATTTGCCCCGACCGCCGAGACTAAGCTTGAAAAGGTGTCACTTGGAAAGGCTGAAAGCGTACTTCCAGTATCAAAAGTATGGGGAGCTGAAACATCGATGTTTTGCCCTCCAAAATTTATCGAATTCAAAGTAGCCCCTAATCTACGCTGATCACCTGTGTGTGGTAATGCAACCAAATCTCCATCAATCTTTGACAAGTCTTTGCCTCCGAAAAGGACACTTCCTGAATTTGCCTGAGGAGTATCTAAATAAATTGAATAAGCTGCCTTGTTGATGTACCCTGCATTTTTCAAAGCGATAGGAAAGTTTGGGTATTCTGGGGCTCCACTTTGTTGGAAAACGCCCGCTTCTAAGCTAGTTGGGCCAATACCAAATACACCACACTGTTTCACAGTAGTAGAGTCAACTTTTCCAAATTGAAAATTAGAGAGCTTAGCAACTCCATTATCTAAAGAAACTGTATCCGAAACAAACTCACCTGAAGATCCTGATTTGTCTACATAACGAATACTGAATGGGATTCCGAGATCCTTGTATGATGAAGAACCAGTTGGGTTGTAATTTCCCCATTTTTGAACCTCAAGGGAGGCGCTAGAGGTAGGAACCCATAAATCTGACGAACCTGTATCAACATCAACACCAATTCTCTGCTTATTGGAGCCTAATTCAAGATAAGTAATGTAGTAATATTGCTCGAACAGTAAAGCACTGCTATCAGTTTGACCACGCTTCACTATTGTGTCATTCTGCAAAACATGTACTTCGAAATCTAATCCGACTACACCTTCTGCCCTCTTAGTGATACCATCGATTGGAGCAGCATTGACTAAAGAAGAGACAAGAAAAATGGCAATAGAGAAGAAAGATATTCTGGAAAATGATAACATAATTAAATTTGAATGTTATTTTAATTGATTGATTGGAATCGAAAGACATGTACCCTTTCAATTGCAGGAAATTTCACTTCTTTTATAGCTTTACTTTGGAAATAGAAATGGATATTTTGGGTTAAGGCATTGGAGGATTCTCGTAGTTGAACTTACATGAAACGCGAACTCGAATTACTAATTATAATTGAAACTCATTCCAAGATGATAGTTATTGTTTCTGAATATATTCTCTTCATCCATAAGTCTCTGCAAAGAAAATGTATTCAACAGAAGACGGAATTATCATTTATTGTAAGTACTAGTATGATTCAGTCACTTTCCATGGTTCATTATTTGAATAATAGATTACTTCAATGACTTCTCCATGATCGTCCAGTATTTTTGCACTGGGATATTTCCAAAAACATTACTACTCTGTAAGCTCTGAAAGAAGTATCATACAGAATAACGGTCGCAATTTCATTAAAATAAACTTTACGGATGGCTTTGAACGAAATTATGCACCTCTACATCAAAATATGCATGTCGAGCATCATCTCTGAAATTGGTGCGAATTTGTATATTTGTAAACTGGAATCTTGACTCGAGCTACATAAATTGGTCTGAGGAGTAAACACTATGACAAGTATGTGAATTTCCTTCAATTTTTCTTTATCTGCTCTCGGACTTGAAATTCTCTCTCGAGAAACAGGGCCCTTTTTAGCTCGGATAGAAGTGGGAGCAGTGCGGCAATTTGAGATAAGTGATGCGTTTAATAGACATGTAAGATAATCAAAAAAAGTCCCCCAAAATTATTTGTGTTTCCACAAAAATAGTACAGTTCATTTAGATACTAAAGTGCTTATAGGCTAAATCTGAGAAAGTATTTTTGGAAGAGTCTCAGGAGTGAAATACAAATCTAAAGTACTAAAAAGTATGCTCCGGATTGATTATGTAACATAAGATTTAGAGTAATATTCTCCGCGATACCTCGTTAAAACTTGCCTACCTTAATAAGAAGTATTCTTTATTGCAGTCGCTGTACATATCTCCAATCTAAACACGGGCTAGCAATAATAAACGTAACATCTATATTCAAAATTTAACTCTAAGTACAATCAAAGGCTTGGATGAATTACAGAGTCACTATTAACTGAAATTTCTGCCTTTTTTCGTTCGAAAACTGAGCTCATTGAGTCAAGATATGAAATTAGCATGATGCTGGACTTTTCAAGAGATAGCAAATGAAATTTAGAGTGCTTAACACGAATATGAAAGGATGCTTTTATCAGATACGCTGTAAATCTTGACTTTTCCTGCCGCGGAAGCATCGCAGAAGCACTCACTTAGGTTGAACTGGAAAATGATCAGCTGGAAATCTTCTTTTACAATACGGGTGTACCTCGTAAATTAGCTGCAAGTAACTTGCCACAAGAGATTAGAAAATATAAGATATCTACAAATTTAACATCTTGTATCTCTTTTGCTTTGTCCCTTTTCAAAAGCACTTTCAAAGATGAATCAAGGAAATAATAACTTGATTTCATTGAATCCCACTTTACTTTCGTCTATATTTAGCTTTACCCTTGTAGCTCTGATGTGGGCCTCATGATCTAAAGTTAAAATTCTCAGAAAGACACTTTAAAAATTTCGGAAATTGAGTCTTTCTTTATCTCGCAGGGCGTTTTGAAAAAGATATCAAAAAATGGCCCAGATCCAAGCTCTAATGAAAGAACCCATTAAATCAAAATAAGAACAAATCATTATCTTGTATAAATATTACAAATATTGAAATACAATTATCATAAAAATTCGCCATTGTTGTATCTACTTATTTGAATTTGTCTTAAGCTTGGGTTTAGAACGGATTCTTCCACTCTTCTTTTTTCCTTATAATCCAACTCATACATAAACTCTTGAATATTTAACGAATCATATTGATATGCCCTAGACCTTTCATTTTCTTCAAATTCGTTAAACTTGTTTTTCAAAATTGACTTTGTCGTACCATTAGCATTTCTGAGTCTGCTTGATAATGTATTATTTCTTTTGACTCTGATTATGCTAGGTGAGCTAATTATCGGCTCCAGATTGTCATACAATAGCATTTTCGCTTTGGGGTTGAAATTCGCTCTAGTTAAGCTTTCATCTTCTCCACAAATTTCAGCTTCTAAAACGAAATTCTTAATTACTGAATTAAAGCTTTGCTTGATAGTTTTGAATAAATTTTCAAAATACTGATGCGTTAGTGGGGTATCTACCTGCTCGACATTAAAGCGAGTAGACGTTTTGAGTTCTTCGCAAGGATCCTCACTAATGTGCATATCTGCAAATATTGAATCTTTATTTTCTATAATGTTCACATCCAGCGCCTCGATATTTTCAAAAGGGGAGAGTTCGAGAATCGCATCTGGGACAACTTCCGGATAAACATCCAATTTTACATCAATATTTGATATATTCGAGAGAAGCAGTAGATAATGAGCTGGGCAATTCCTGCTAATGTAACCTTCCTTTTGGGGGCGCAAGCTGTATTTTTGGTATATGTCTAGTTGAGAGATAGCAACGGGGGAGCAGGATATGGTGAATGCTTCTTCATTTCTTCTCGAACATCCATGCTGTCCATGTTGGGATTCCCCATTCCTAAGCCACATATTTATCATTTTGTAGCAAGTTATTTTTCTCATAGCGAGTATCTACGAGCAAGTAATTCTACCATCATTATTATTTACATATATTTTTAGTCCTATTCTTCTTTGTCGCATACGAATATTCTTCCTCTCTGTGGATCGATAATTGTGTATGAAAATAAATCAAAAAAGAAATAAATAAAAAATACAAGGTGTAGGTGGGCAAGCAAAGTTACAAGCTACAATGCACGAAAAATAAAATAAAATATTATTGCACAGTTCAGCCGCCTACTTTGAGAACTAATTAGGCAATGGTTTCCCCACCGCTACTGTGTTCAGTGCAAAATTTCACTGCAAGGCTTTTAGCTCACTAACATAATTTTCCGAATTGTTGCAATTTGCAGATTCAAGCGGACGTAATATTTATATTTCGAGTACAACGGTAGCTTAAAGCTACAGGAAGATCTCTAAAAATTCTTGGTATATTGTTCTTGACATCAAAAGCAAAAAAAAGATGTGTCAGTAATGTATGACAAGGATTTTTAGTATTTTGAAAGATAACGCTTGCCAAGCCAAATTGCAAGACGCAATTCCTAAACAGCGAAAAAATAAAGAAGACGACGTCTAGGGATATTATAACTGAATAAAATAATTCGGAACTACCAACGTGATTATCGGTTAATTGGTCGGAATGAACTGTGAGTAGCCTCTTCGACATTCTTGACCCTTATCTTCGAAACGAAGTATATATTTTTTAATGAAAATAAAGTTTCAAGAGCTCCAAAGCCAGAGAAGAAAAAAGAAAAGACCACGAGGAGTTGATTTATGATCTTTATTGCCAAAAAAAAATTAAAGAGCAAGAGAGGAAAGCTTTATTATTTGTATGAGAAATGATTGGTTGTCAACTAGCGGAAATTGTCACATTAGCCCTTAAATCTTAAATTCTCTGAATTAGTTATTAAGCCTACCTATCACCAGTTCCAATACCCCTTAGTATTTTTCTGCGTCTCAACTTACGTGTTCAGTGTGCAAGACAACCCACTTTAGCCTTAGTCATTCCTTTCGCTGCTCCCAATGACTTGATGAGTTGCTTAGCGGGTTCTCAGCTCGTGTGTGATATCAGCTCATGTACGAAGTGGACAAACGCATTACTCCCTAATATTTTCCATAATCATTGGTTCCTTGCAGGAGTTGCTTATCAACAATTTTTTCATTTAGATAAGAAAGAAGCTAATCTTCATGCACGATCAAAAAAATAATAGTTTAATATGCCGGTAACAAAATTGTGGTTGCATTTTCTGATTGTTGCATGAAATTAGAATATTGACGATAAGAGTGCCGTGTCGAGCTCGAGATAAGGTATTGATCTCCCCATAATTAAGTATATAATTTAGGAAATTTCATTCAATAGTGATTGAAAAGGTTTGTAAGCTGATTTTCTCAACACCTTTAAAGCTTTCTTAAAAATCATGGTTGAAAAGGAACTAAATTATATTGCTTCTAGGCAGGCAGCAGAAACTTCTTCTAACGAAAAGGATGGTGGTGTCACCGTTGAAGTCTTGCCATTTGATAACGACAAGCCAAAAGGATCTACTTTTACCAGAATTGTTGATTCTTTCAGGCGTTACGAAGCGGAAGACTTAAACCTTGACCCCAATTTGACAGATATCGAAAAAACAGCTATTATTACCGCCAATTCTCCATTATCACGTTCCTTAAAGAACAGACACTTACAGATGATCGCCATCGGAGGTGCTATTGGTACTGGTTTATTCGTTGGTTCTGGTAAGAGATTGCACACTGGTGGTCCAGCAGGTGTCTTAATCGGTTATTCTTTAATTGGTACTATGATCTATGCAACCTGTCAAGCCTTAGGTGAATTAGCAGTGACTTTCCCAGTTGCTGGTGCATTTGTCACTTACAATACTCGTTTTATTGACCCATCTTGGGGATTTGCCATGGCTTGGAATTATGCTATGGGTTGGTTAATTACCTTACCTTTAGAATTGGTTGCTGCTTCTTTAACTGTAGACTACTGGAATGACACTATAAATCCAGCAGCTTTTGTTTGTATTTTTTGGGTTTTGATTTGCGTGATTAACTTCTTTGGTGCTAGAGGATACGGAGAAGCTGAATTTGTATTCTCGATTATTAAAGTCATTGCTGTGGTTGGTTTCATCTTCTTTGGTATTATCGTTGTTTCAGGTGGTGGACCAAACCATAAGTACCTTGGTGCTCATTACTACTACGACCCAGGTGCCTTTGCAAATGGTTTTAAGGGTGTTTGTTCTGTTTTTGTTTCGGCAGCCTTTGCCTTCGGTGGTACCGAATTAGCAGGATTAGCCGCTGCTGAAACAGAAAACCCAAGAAAGTCTTTACCAAAGGCCACCAAGCAAGTGTTCTGGAGAATTACGCTTTTCTACGTCATTTCCCTTTTATTGGTTGGTTTATTAGTCCCATACGATGATAAAAGATTGACTTCTGGTACATCCTCTGCTGATGCTAGAGCTTCTCCTTTCGTGTTAGCCGTCGTTGATGCTGGTGTTAAGGGTTTACCATCGGTCATGAATGTCGTTATTATGATTGCAGTTCTCTCAGTTGGAAATTCTTCCGTTTATGCATCATCTAGAACTTTAGCCGCATTGGCTGCATGTAACCAAGCGCCAAAGATTTTCAACTACATCGACAGAAAGGGTAGACCAATTTTTGGTGTTATTGTTACCTGTCTCTTTGGTGCCTTATGTTTCTTAGTCGCCTCTAATAATGAGTCGCTTGTCTTCGACTGGATGTCAGCATTGTCAGGTCTCTCTTCGTTATTCACTTGGGGTTCAATTTGTTTCTGTCACATCAGATTTAGATATGCTTTGCGGGTTCAAGGCAGATCCACCGACGAAATTGCTTACACTGCTCAAGCAGGTGTTTATGGTTCTTACTACGGTTTGATTTTTATCATTTTGGTTTTTATTGCTCAATTCTGGGTTGCTCTTTTCCCTCTCGGAGGCTCACCAAACGCTTCTGATTTCTTCCAATCTTATTTATCGGTTCCAGTTGTCATACTTTTCTACGTTGGTCACAAATTGTGGACTAGAAACTGGAGATTATATGTAAGAGCCAAGGATATTGATCTTGATACTGGAAGAAGAGAACTCGATTTGGATGTCTTAAAGCAAGAATTGTTAGAAGAAAAGGAAATTATTGCGGGTAAGCCGTTCTACAAGAGATGGTGGCACTTCTGGTGTTAAAACATCTTTTTTTCTTTACACCTTATATGATTTTTGTTTAACCATATGTAATAAAATTTTAATGTAAAAATATTATTAAACACTATCATGTACACCGATGATTCGATAAACAACTGGAGCATAAAAGTTCTTTTTATTTCCTGAATTGGTCGCCGATTGACCTGCATTCTACTTTTGATGTTAGGGTGTGCGGTTTTTCGCTTAAGCTGTGGGAACGCAATTAGAAATTTTTTGATGCAGCGAGCAGGGTTCTTAATTTACGAGTCTTCCAGTTTTGGTTTGGTATGCTGCTGCATTAAGCAGAAGCCACATATAAAGAATTAGACTTTATAATTCAGTAGTAAGGTACTAATGAAAAACGAAATAAAGAAGATGCTGCTCATTTTCAATTCTACAGTACCACTTAAGATAGCCAAATTACACTTTCTACTATTGAAGTTATTTCATCACATATAAATTTTCTCAGGTATGTATTTTCTAGAATTGACTTCATATAATTATTTCTCGAAAATTAAACTTTAGGTTCCGACAAGAGGTCAACTTCTTCCACGCCAGTGGAATTTGAACTGGAAGCGTCGGATGTGCTTTCCGACTTTGTTTTTCCAATTAACGACGTAGCATGAGAGACAATTGCGTATATAGAATGGCGCCCTTGCCATAATGGGAAAACAACTATATACGTAGCCGCAACAAGTAGCCATATTAACATAATGACAATCCACGATGTAAAGTACGCTTTCGAAAATACATATCTCGAGCCATAATATGCGCATGGAACAATTACGTAAGCACCAATTACTAATATTATGTTCAAAACTGCAGTGATTATCGATTGTTTCTTCAAAATGCCAGCATCCTCTTTCTTGGTTGTCATGGCTGCTTGCTCCTTTTCATCTGCATCATCTCCGGCGTGGAATGAAGTTTCAAATGTTTTAAAGTCAAAATCTGCCGGTTTAATGTATGAAATCACGATATAGTAGAAAAGGGAACTGAATAACGAGGTGAAATTTCCAATCACTGTAGCTTCATTTGCCATAACTGTAGTCCTATTGACGACTCCATCATTGTATGCATATGTTGCACCAATCCAGCATGCGATTCCAGTCAATGTACCCAAGGGTGCTCCAATAATAAGACTCTCTTTGGACATTTTCTTCCAAAATATTGCTAAGGTTATGGCACTTACTTCTGGAGAAAGAATAATTCCTAGGAAACTTAAAAGCCATCCTACTGTCACCCCAACGTAATTAAATACTACAGCCAAACATGCCATGAATAAACCAAAAAAGACAACTGATCCGTGGGCGATGGTAACTAATCTTTTACCAGAGGCATCTGGTTTCACGTAGGTCTGATAAACGTCGTACGTAAAAATTGAAGAAAACGCAATTAATTCTGCCGAAGTAGCTGAAGTTACACTCATGAAAAGCATCACTAAACCAGCTGCAGCTCCTGATTTTCCAAAGATTGCCGCCAATCCATAAATTACCGGCATACCAGCATCGACTTCTGCTGCGGTAAGTGCATTTGGATAGGTGAAAGATGCAGGGTTGTTTAACAAAGCCAAACAAGCTAAACCTGCAGAAGTTCCCAAGGCCCAGGGAATGACTAGCCAGCATGCACCACCAAGAACATAGCCTGAAAAAACACTCTTTGCATCTGAAGCAATTGCTCTTTGAGAATAACCAGGATCTCCAAAAACAGAACTAAGACCACCTACAGTAACAGTCCAAGTGAGTAAAATTTGCTGCTTATTAAAGAAACTTAGGTAACTGTTACCACCAGAACTTGGGAACAACTCATCAGCCTCGATTAATAAATCATACATTTTACTAGGAGAACCAATAAGCGATGAGCTACCATAAATTACGAAAGCTGCTGCACAGATGATTCCATAAATTATCACAGTATGGATCCAGTCAGAAATGAACGTTGCCTTAAGTCCACCAAAAAGTGTATAGCAAACGACACCCAACGGTAAGAGGAAAGATGCCGCTATTATGTGCATACCAGTTGTTTCTGAAAATCCCTGAGATCCACCCAAAAGTAATAAGGATGAGATTAAAACATTGGTAGCTACACAATAGCATAGATAAACCCAATGTCCAGCTTTACCGAATCTCACTTGAATCAATTGTGCAACAGTATGACAGCCGGGAGAGTTCTTTTTAATTTGAATTGCCAAAAATGCAAATAATAAGACCTGAGTAGTACCTCCAATTCCATAGGTAAAACCACCCATGATTCCAGTATTGTATGCCCACGCTCCAGAACTCAATAGAGTTGCTGGCCAAGTCCATGCGGAAACTGTTGAACTAGCAATTAAACCAGATTTAACTGAACGAGATGCCGTTGAAAATCTTTCAGATGATTGTACCTCACCAGCATAAATTGACAATAGCTTAGAGATTGACACCATTAAAAGCGCAAAGGCAGCTCCGATACCCAAAGCAAATCCATAACCATAACCTTGGTCTAAAATATATTTATCAGTCATAATTATTAAATCTACCTGGCAAAAAGAGATTTACTCATTAGTTGCATCAGATGGATCATCTACCTTTATATGGGCGGCGTCGTATAATATCATGGAGCGTTATCTTCGCCTTTTTCTTATGCGGTTATGATTCCCCATCTTGTACACCAATTTGGTATCATACAATGTAAAATAGATAACTTATCGGGTAAATTGATCTAGTGGCCGATGTGGGCCGCAAAATAGAATGCAACCTTGAAAATTAAACATATGCTTATCAAAATTATTTTTTGTAAGCCATCGGGATTTCCTACGTTTGGACATTAACATTGCATGTTAGGGTAAATAATTACTTAAAATTAAAAATAAAACAGTTCCATGCATAAGCAAATCTACGTCAAAGTCATCAACGAAGTGCCGCGAGGACTTTATGCGGAGAGTGTTTGGGGTACATCAGATAGATAAGACGCTGAAGATTGTATCATTTTGGGGGAAGTATTTCATTCTTGTCTGAATTTCCGCTTATCAGTATTTGATCAGAAATTCGAATTGCTCTTTGACCGATTAGGCAATAGCCGCGCTGAAAAGTTTATGATTCCAATCAATGCACGGAATCGAGAACAATCAGCACGAGAAATTACGTCCCTATCTTAGGGTGCTGGGTATATAAGTTTGATTCTTGAGTAGTATAATTTATTTCTCCATTGCTCTTCTTTGTAGTCATCAGAAGATAAGAATGACTTGGGAAAGCATTGCTGCTTCGAAGAAAAAATCAGTTTATGAGGGTATTCCAGTTGAATGGCGCTTAAGCCAAATCCCCTTAATAGAAGAGGTACCAAACGTATATGTGTATCTTAATAACGTTTTATCTAAGGAGGAAAGAGAGATCACTAATTTAACTGCAGTTGAGATTGCGAATAGGATTAAACTGGGACAATTGACTTCATTAGTTGTCACTAAGGCTTTCTGTCATAGAGCCGCACTAACGCATCAACTTACCACCTGCTGCTCTGAAATATTTTTTGATAGAGCCTTTGAGAGAGCTGCATTTCTTGATAAATATTATAAAGATAACAATGGTTCAGTTTTGGGCCCTCTCCATGGCGTTCCTTTATCTTTAAAAGATCAGGTAAACTTGGAAGGAATTGACTCCGCAATTGGATACGTTTCGCAAGTAAACAAACCCAAGTCTAAAGACGAAGTTTCATTGTTAGCAAAGATATTAGAGAAAGCTGGTGCAGTATTCTACGTTAAAACGACAACTCCAATGGCGATGTTAGCAGCTAGTACAACATCTAATATATATGGAAGTACACTCAATGCTTTTAATAGAAAGTTATCTAGTGGTGGGTCATCTGGTGGTGAAGGAGCGATTGTCGGGGCGAGGGGTGCACCATTAGGATTTGGTACTGATATCGGTGGTAGTATTAGAATTCCTTCATCTTTCCAAGGCTTATACGGCTTAAGAGCTTCTTCTAATCGTATCCCGTACGTAAATGTCTCGAATTCTTATTCCAGTGCTCCTGTACTCTCATCTGTAATCGGCCCGATGAGTTGGGATCTTGATGACTTGAAGTTTGTAACTAAGCTCATTTTGGATGCGGAACCTTGGCTAAATGATCCAAAGACACCGCCAGTACCATGGAGAGAGCAGACAAAATTGGAAAATTCTCCGAAGCTAACTTTTGGAATTATTTCTGGAAACGGATTCTCGAGATTGCATCCTCCAATTGAAAGGGCGCTTAAAATGGCAAGGGAGGCTCTTGAAGCACAGGGACATGAAATAATTGAGTGGGAAATGCCAGTGAAATTTCAAGAATTGCGTGACCTCTACGCTCTGATATCTAGCACTGATGGTTACAAAGAAGTTATTGATGAATGTGCAAAATCTGGGGAACCAATTGTGCGTGATCTTTTGAAAGGTTTTCAATCTGATGGTGATAAGCTCCCCAAGTTTCCTAAAGGAATTTCTCATGTTCACGAAGAGTGGGAGTACGCTAAGTTGAGATATGAGTATCAGCAAAGGTTTGATCGGTATTGGCTTCTGACAATAAGCAGTACTACTACAGGTAGAGCAATTGACGGGATCCTTTCTCCTGTGTGGGAGTCCGCATCCTTCAAACCTAATGATGTAAGATACTTTGGCTTTTCTTATACTGTCCTAGTAAACATCTTAGATTTGAGCTCTATTACTGTGCCCGTTACAGTCGCAGATAAATCAATTGATACTAAAGACCCGACTTATGTACCAAGTGGTGAAGAAGATCAAAGAATTTGGGATTATTATGATCCAGAACTTTACCATGGTGCTCAAGCAGGTATTCAAATCATAACCCCAAGATATGAAGAAGAGAGAGCTATTTTCTTAGCTGGAGTATTACGAGACTCACTCTTGAATTAATGAAAACATTTGATTTAAGAAGCATTTGCAAAATTATTAATATACATTTATGATAATAAGTATTTTTTTTAGAATTCATTACTGTGACTCTATGTCATTCTAGTAATTCTCAGGTTTTCAGTTATCCCTGCAACCTCTCAGTATTTCGCTATTTACGAATTTACTGGTTATGTTTTGGAATGGTCGGAGGGTCTATGAGCTAAATTTACTTGTCTTAATTTATGTTGGCAGAGCGTGGCAACCAATTTAATGCTACTATCATAATATTTAAGTACTTACTACGATACTTTACCCCATGAACAAAGGGGGAGGTTTCACACTGAAATTGCTTATACGTTTCGTTGACGCGGGTCCAAGATATTGGAAATAAGCTTTCACATTTCAACCTTTTAGTATTTCATCCCCCATATTATTTAAAAAAGAAATCCTGTTTCTTAATAGGGCATGATGTTTTCTTTTAAAGTCTATAGAGGATAAAATTTCTTTTTTTAGGTATTCGTTGAAAGATCTTCCAAAGAGTTCTTGGTGTCTTGTTCTCAGTTATGGCCCTTGGGTCGTTCATATGAAAGCTGCTGAATATGGTATTGAATTAAAGGCAAACATAAGATAGCGATAGAGTAACATGATGAATAATGTAGCAGAATAGCACGTAATAATTTTGAGGAAAAGCTTTAAGCTCAGTTTTGCTCTTACTAAGTAAAGCCAACTCAAATTGTAAGAGTTGATTCACTGTACACTTGGCCTCTGTCGCTTGTTGAATTCTAGAGTTTACTTTTGACCAGATTCTGAATACCCGCTTCACAAGTTTGATGACATCTATTGCTGACAGACTATCTGAGACTAGCAAACTAACAATATACGCAGGCAATTTCATAGACATAATTCATAAGCTAGGTGGAGAGACATTGCCATTTATCATTGAATCTTATCTTTGTCAAAACTTTTAGAATTGGAGCAAAGGGTTAATATATAAGATAATTGCTGAAATTAATACGTCAGGTTTATTTGAAACATGACTTCAGAGGTAAATTAATATCATTCATTCTTAATTTTCCTTAAAAAGCAAACTTTAGACTGATTATTCGATGACTGAAAACGTTACTGGGCATCAACTAAGTGAATATTCATGGTTTAGAATAAACAGCCTTCCTTATAAAATAAGGGGTATTAAGGCCACCTCAAACAAATGGAGACTAGAGATTAAATTTTTGGAGAGTTATAGAAGAAAACTGTCGGATTAAATCCATTAGAAAGGTGAAGAACATTATTTGAGTAAATAAACTAAACTAAACGTATTGCAAACTAGGAGAATACATAATTGAATGTGTGGAAATTTCAATGGTGGAATTCATTCGTGTGTTAGTTGATTTACTCAGACATAGACACTAATTTACTCAGCACTGAGATTAAGCATGGCATTAATGTCTACCGCAGAATGAAAATGACCAAAGAAATTGAGACTAGTACCTGCTGAAGAAGGATTAAAGATGAAACAACCTGGGATTAGAATGATGTTAATCTTTAAAACTCTAGTGAAACACAACTTGCTCTCAGCTTAAAGTTTGCATAATCCATTGGACAAATGAGTAAACATTTTCTTTCTAGGCAATAGCATTTTTCATTTCTAAAGTAGTATCCTAGTTGTTATTAGTAAGTACATTTAAACTGACACAAGACTATTTTTTAGGTAACTGGCAATTTTCTTAATAAAAATATTTTCATCATGTACGTTACCGTCGAGAATATAAGCACAACGATAGCACAATGCATATAAACGATAAAATATCGCAATAAACGATAAAATTTCAAGGTAAAATGTTCAAAATTTCGAAGAATGGGTTCCTAGAAGAATAAGAACTTAAATAATAAAGCGAGATTATACCACCATCTTCCTTGAAGGAAGTGTTAAGAAAGTCCAGTGTTTCGGTTCACACGAAAAACGCATGAGCCTCAAGCACTATCTTAAACAGTCGATGCCTTGTGCCGACGCACTCTTCTTCGAACTGTACTTCCATGGAGGGACGGACGCTTGTTTCAAGTGAAACAACATGTGAAGCATACATATTCTTTATGCCTTGCTAACGGATACTAGAGTGAGCTTCTTAGAATAAGATGCAAGTGGTACATGACTAAGAATGGTTCGCTTGTAATACCTCTTTTCCCGTGCTTACCCAACACATATTAGTGATTCGGCTCCTTCAAAGCAGGATATTCTGATTCAAATATAGTGAATTAATGCATGCGCTAAGCTAGATATAGGCTAATTACGCCAATGAAAGTTATCTCCCTTTTTAGACGGGTACCTTCATTTTCCGAGGTTATGCAATACTGATACGCTCAGTTTAGTATGTTTGATGAGTTATTAAACACATCTTATGTACTTTTCAACATCATGTGAACTGTTTTATTCTAGGGGCTCATCTTAGATTGGAAAATACATGCTCCATATACATATATAGATATGTTTATACGTCTTATTATGTCAAAATGGTTTTCATATCAAAGACGTAAAAACATTGTTTGACACATGAACTATGTCCTAGTTCAAAGCTGAAAGCTTAAGTGAGTAAAAATTCGGCTACGAAATCACATATTGAATCCCACTTATAGTCAATCGAGAAGTTCCCCTTGTTAAGATTATGAATTTTGAACTGATTTAAACTCTTTTTGATCACAATCGAGAAGTTTTACACAATAGTATTCCAAAATTCTTCGGGATTCTTCATCATATGAAACGACGATCTTCAACTAGTTGAATGAAGGTGCTTACCGACTTATTCTAATCTTGCTGTATTGTAACAATGAATCATCACCACCATAAGCGAAATATACCTGTAGGCGCTTTTTTTTCATTTTGACTGCCAGTGTAATACTATTACTGTTTCATGTGGAAGCAAAATGCAATGTTAGATGTGAGATGTTTCAACATTAACAAGAGGTAAGTTATAAATATTATTTATATCTTGTTAACTAATAGTAGATTAAGACTTTCCTGACCTAGGTAGATACAACATTTGAACAAATCTGGCACTCTTTTAATATCTCTTTCCTCAAGGTTGTCGAATTGGATTCGGCATTTTGAATTACGCGACTCTCGTCTGTCTCAAAGCATCAATAGACGAAAGACCCTTCTGAAACAGTTTCAATAGCCGACAATTCAATCACAATTTTGCTTCTCAAAGACAAGTTTATTTGATTTCAATATTCCACAGATAGTTAAGAAATGCTTTACCTCTGCCTCGAAAGACTTTTCTTCCAGAATTCATGATGAGTAATGGGTAAGAAATGTGTGTCTTTTTCCATAGAGCTCAATGTATTGAATAGCTATTGTTACATTGATGAACTCGGCGATATTACTTCTTCAGCAATCCTAATTTAATCTACTTCACAAGAGTCTTCACTCAACTGAATATTGAAAGACGATAGTTTCACTCTACATCGAATTATCTCAAAAAGTTTTAGTACATTATGATGCAGAACTTCATTGTTGTTATTGAAAGAATTCAGATGGCTATAGTGGCTATTCTCTTGCCAGGAAAGACTGGCCGCTCAGACTCTAAAATTTTTAATACCTCATTTCTTAGCTAGATTATTACACATTTTGGTCTTAGAACAGCCTCAAGCCTTTAAGCTAAGAGAGCTACAACGTTTTTCAATAAAAACACATTTATGATAATATATTAGTTGTGTAAGACATACACACGTAGGGGTATATGTTATAATAACACCATCAAGAATTAATTACCTAGAGATAAAACAGTTCATATAATGTATAAAGGTGCCTCAATCAAAAATATAAAAATCATAATTCTAAGACATGAATGTGGAAAGTTAAACTGAAACAGCCATCACTCTTCGTTAGTTGCAAAACATTACCAGCATATTTTGTTTCAACTAACACATACATAAACTCCAGCCATTCTCTTCACAGATTTCAGCCCAATCAATGCATAAAGTACCCATAGGATTTCTTCTCCAATATTCTTCGACTACATCCCACACCCTAGCTAGATTTCCAACTTTATATGTAGAATAAATCTTCTTAAAAGTGCCATGCATTTCTTTCCTATCGCAAGGTAATGAACACGAAATCCCGCAAATTAATAACAGCATTGGCAATGCTGCTACTATGTCTGTATCTTCAATTGACTCAATGTAGACTAGTGATTGAAGCAAAATCAGCTGGACTTCTGGAGAAGCTGGGGTGACCTGTTTCAAGTGGAGCAACATGTAAAGTTTGCAAGTATTCCTTACTATTTCAAATAGTTTTAAATGATGTTGAAGTGTAGACTTCCCAGTGCGAGATAGAAGCTCCATTTGAATGGTAGAAGGTTCACATACAATAACTCTTTCCTTAAGTCTATCATATGTGGATTCAGCATCTTCAAAGTATACTATTCTCATCTGTCTCAAGTACCTAGTTTCGATAGAGCCCTTTGAAACATCATCTAAAGCAGACAATTGTTTCTCAATTCTACTTCTCCAAGACTTCAAGGTGACATGCGCGTTCATTATTTCCCCTAATAATAGGTAAATTGGTTGAATGATGCCTTGAAATGGATCCAATCCGTACCCGCCAGAATCTAAAATCTTGTATTGTGTAAACAATGTGTTGTAATCTTCCATGGAGAATAATGTACCTTTAGATTGGGTAACTGATGACATAATATCATGGTACTGCAAGTTCAGAACAAGCCACTTTACATCATTTGAATAGGAGAAGTCTTCACAGAGTTGAAGAATTCCTCCATAGTTTGTGTTAAGCATCTTGTGACTCTTCGTAAAGATCTCATACCAGTCAGAAACATCCCCAGTACAAATTTTCATTCCCATTTCAATGATATAGAAGCATAGAAGTGTATATCTATCGTTCTTGTCTAATGGACCATTTGCATAACGATGAGAAATAAGGCTCTTGGCCCTTTCCATATAAGGAAGAAACAGTTGTTCCACTTCCAGGGAATCTAATTCTAAGTTACTTTCAGATGAGACAAGCTTCTCCATGAAGTAACCACCCCATGCAGCTAATGCGTTCAGGATGGCTTCGTCACAGATTGCAACAGAAAAGAAAGTGTTGACAAAATAGTTAGGACTATACGCTGAAGTTAAGCAAAGAAGCTTGGAAACATTGGTTTGGAAGTACTGAAGATATTTGAGCCCCTTCTCATCCAAATATAATGCATATATACTTGTTGATAATATTGAATTGGGAGAACTTGGTATTTGAAAAGAAGTTGGCAAAATTGAAGCTCTTGAAGCTTGATGATCAACAAAAGTAGATCCAGGATGAGTGTTTAAAAATTCTTCTAATTGGTCGTATAAGTCAGAAGAGAGCTCTGGGAGTGGTGATGGAAACATGGTGCTACTTGCTTTAGTTGTCAACGTATTACAGTGGGAAAATGTTGGAGAGGTTTCCAAAGAACTAGTGTCTAAGGAACTAGTGTCTAAAGGAGAGTTTTCAATTGTGTTTCCGTTCTTTGTAGTTGTCGAAGCACGATTAACACTAGATATTTCACCAATTGTAGATGAAGCTAGTGTTTCATTTCTATTAGCACTAGAAACACACTTAGATTTAGGCTCTGGTAATAAATAAACACATTCTCTGCTTTTGTCTTTGCATTTTCCACACTTGGGGCGCCTTTCATCACATTTCTTCCTAAAGTTATGAGTTAGAATTTAGCGCATTAAAAAAGAGACTAGGAGAGTATATTGTAGAAAATAGAATTAAATGTTACTTACCTATCCTTTTTGCAACATGTGCATCCAAACTTGGATCTTATATGGGGACCTACGATGTTTTTCTTTTGAACATGTCTAATTTTAACCATGGTGCTTAATTTTTGTGAAGTTGAGTTTCTATTATTTGTAGAAAGTGGCTCATATTCACAGTTGGCTGCAGATTGCAAATCATTGTTTGGAATTTCAAGTAATGTATCAGCGTCAAACACGAAATTCATTGTATTGAGAGGAAGAAGGAAGTAAGAAGAAGAAGAAGAAGTAAATTAAAAAAAAATAAAAACTAAAAAGGAGGATTTTACATTTTTAAATATTTTTGCTTAAAATAGTGTCGATATACTGTAGAGGATATCAAAATAAAATTAACCAAAGTCAGCATAGTTCGTAATTGCAATCCAAATTCGTAAAATGCATTTTCAGCTTGCGTGAATGTAGCTGCACATAAAAAAATTACCTTTTTGCGTGAGGAGCTAAAGCTTATTCCTCTAACGGATAGACAAGGCGGAATTTCTGTGGGTGCCTCCTGCATAATGGTGTTTTGGGAGATGCTAATCATCTAGATTGAAATCAGAAAACTTATCAGCCGCGCATCTCCGAGGGCCAGAGAATGACTACTTATCTTGAAGTACGTCATACCAAGATTTAAAGTTAACTCGCTTAGGATTCCACGAGTCATACCGTTAGTGAGTCAAGCAAGATTTAAAAAGGTAAGTTCATAGCGAAACAAGCGAAAGATTTAGATGACGTCCCCATCCAATTTGGAAACTGATCTGAGTTCATATGCTAGTGTGTTAGCTGGAGTTAAGAGGATGAGGGAGATGTTTGAGAGTGATCAGGTTTCGGATGGAAATTCGGCGAGTATCTTAAAGCGAGATGTGGATGTCGATGAAAGCACAGCTAAAGGAAGTAATGACGATAAGAATAACGATTACGGTCTGATCAAGGAAGTTGAAATTACCGATAAGGTAACAGACCAATCGCCAAAGGGTAATACTAATACAAATACCGATGTGGCATCGCGAGGAGGAGCTAACAGTTACCGAAATCCACCTCCAATGTCTACTACCTATACACGCATTCAAGTATCACCCTCTCAAAAGGGTAATCCTCTACTAGTTGACTCTCACTTAAAGACTACAGCTTGGGAATACAACTCCACAATCGTTAGCGACTACGTCATCAACCCCAAGTTACAGTTTCTTTTCTTATCACTAAAGTACCATAAGCTACACCCAGAATATTTGTGGCAGAGAATCAAAAAATTGAACAAGGGTTCGACCAATTCCTCCATTCTCTCTGCAGATGACTCTCTTCGAATATTGCTTGTAGTAGTTGACGTAGATTCACACCAGGAAATTATTAGAAACTTGCTGAATTTTTGCGTAAGGCAGGACTTATCGATGGTGTTGGCATGGACATTTGAAGAGGCTGGAAATTACATTTATCATGCTAAAAAGCAAGAATTGTCGGCTACAAGGCAAACTACAAGTATAAAGAGGGCTAGAGAAGAAGATTACGAAAGTCGCATAAGAGATACTTTAGTTAGTATACGGGCGATCAATAAGACCGACCTGGTAAACTTATTGGGAAATTTTAAATCCTTTGAAAATATTGTGCAGGAGAGCGTTAAAGTCGGTGGTGACCTAGGCAAAGTACACGGGTTCGGGAACAGAAAAATTGATAATATGAGACAAGTCTTTCTGGAACCATTCATTTACAATAGGGAATATGTAACAAAATAAAATTGGCATCAGCTAATTGTTTTCTGGTCTGAAAGAGAGTCATGTTTTTTCCGAATCTGTACTCTGACTATGAATTTAAAGCTACCGAAAAATAAAATGGCGAGGTCTAAAAAATATATGTACTTCTAGAAAATATATATGCGGAATTGTTTCGATTCTACGTCATAGAAGCTAATGTACCTTGTACATTTGATATAGTAATATGCTCAGGTTACGTATTATTATCTTGTTCGACGTAGAAGTTAGCTGACTTTTCTCAGTATTTCAAATGTCCTCATATTCTCAGCAAACAAAATAGTGGAAGCGATTCTAAAGACATATATTCTACAGAATGTAGCCCTTTTCAAACAGAAGCATGTCAATAAGGAATGGGATTATAGTTAAACCACTCGTCGAACCTTTTTCAGATCTACAGTTGCAATGTTAGTCTGAAAGAGAAGTCAAACTATGACTATATTAACCCTTCTTACTTAAAAATCTTTGGCATGTGGCTAAAAGATCCTACCGCGTCATATTCCTTACAGTAATGCCCAGAATTTTAAAGCGAGGGGGAGATGTGACATACTTGCATCTTATTATTATCTGAGCGCCCTCTTGTCGCCTAAAAGGAACTTTCACGATTGCGAAAGAAGGAATCCACACTGCATATGGCATAATAAAGTTTATAGTACAATAAAAATAAAAAAGTAAACGAAGGTATTAGTTACATTGATTCGGTTAATCTAGGTATCTGCGGCTGTGCCAGGGACCAATCTTAATTAGGAAGACTATCTATTGGATAACCAAAGATTGTGATCTTTCATTTTAGGAATGCTCATTTTCTTCCAGCAAGAAAACTCTTCTATTGGCTTTATACTAGTATTCCAGAATACGATTCTTGTGTCAAATAACAGTCTCTATATATTTTTCTATATAGTTATCTAATTATGGCAATTAGGAAGTACAAACAATGCTATTCTTTACATTATTGATTAAACGGGCCCTTGAAAATAAATGAAAGGACTTCTTTTTCATGTCTGGCAAGATAAGCTTCAGAGCCTGATCTCTGTGAACTCACTAAAAATTGGATTGTTTTTTCTTACACATTTTTTATCGCATTCGCACTTGGTGGATAATATGGAAACTAAAGAGCTTTGGGGTCTCTAAAGGATAGGCTTCTTGACTCCTGGCTTCTTATACAGCCTGTTGCTGTTGCTGTTGTTCTTGCTGCTGTTGTTGTTGTTCATACTCGATCATTTTTTCTCTCAATACTAAGCTCATACTATTCAAAGTGTCGTTTTTTTGTACCAATATATCTTTCAACTTCTTAGCATCTTCATTCAATTTCTCGACTTTTCCACTATACACCTTAATGGCCTCCTTTGCCAGCTTACCGACAAAATATCCCGTTCCAATATCCACCAAATATTCGTCTTTATTGACAATTTCTCCTGGGAGGTATAATGATGAGGTAAGAGGAACTAAAAGTTCCTTTGCTGAGGTTGTGGACATACTTTCAATACTTGAAATACATTCTTTCAATTTACTTTGAGCGGTTTGGAGTGCCTGTAGAGATTGAGTGAAATGGTTTATTTCCTGCTCAGTGTTTTTCCTTAATTCAACGATTTGTTGAGGTTGAAGTTGATTGAGGTCAATTCTTCTTTGCGCCATAATCAAATAAATTTATAAGTGGGCGTTAATTTAGTATATATACAAGTGTAGGAGTAGGTTCTTAAGGTTACTTCGTTTTCGTCTGAACGAGTTTTTAGTTTTTTTTTTTTTTTTTTTTTTTTCAGTTTCGACCAGACACAAAATCATAGCGACATGTATTTTAAGTAGCTACACCCACAAATTAAGCAATTGAGACATTAAACTATACAGGGAACGAATTAAGATGGGTAATGATGGAGGTAGTATCGCTAAAAGGCAAGATATTCTATCCTTCCACAAACACCAAGCAGGTTCTCAAAAGAGTTCGGACATAGTTCAAGATGATAATGTTATAGTATGTTCAGTTTCTTCTCTACCATTGAGAAACGAAATAGTAGTAGGAGACTATTTGGGTAGATTGTATATAAAAGAAAAAATTGTAGAGTACATGTTAAATAGAAATTTGAAGCTGGAAAATGGGGCTGATGCGACATTACCTTCAACATTAAGTGACATATTGGAGCTTAAGTTGCATTGGCAGGATGATAAAACGATCGTCTGTCCTGTCACTGGTGGTATAGACTTGTGTTATCTCAGGCCATGTGGGTGTGTAGTTTCATATAAATTATTACAGGAATTGCACAAGGGTGATAAAAGAAATGATCAGAGTAGCAGTAAAATGGAATTATCTTCGTCGACGTGCCCCAACTGTGAGATACCTTTCACCTTTGACTACGATGTAGTTCTAATCGACCAGGCTGAGAAAGCAGCCGACTTCAATAAGAAAACTTATGAGTATCTTGCGACCCAGTTGAAGCTCCACCACAGTAAGAAGCCCATAAAGGAGAAGAAAAAGAAAAGGAAGCAAGAAGACGATAGCGATGGTGTATTGAAAGAAAAGAAGAATAAAAAGAAGAAGAAGAAATCAAGTTAGTTTGAACTTATGGCTTGCCCTCTCTTCTGAAACTCATTGCTTCATTCTTTGATTCCTTAATATACATTATGATGTCATCATGGAGCCTACATTAACAATCTAATATAATATTTTATTTACCTATATACATGACCCTAAATAGCACTACCTTTTACTCTATTCTTGAGCAATATCTATTTTATCAACCTCTTCTTTATCAAACTTCAATTTGTTCTTGTTCATTTGAGCGTAATCTGAATTCATGTAAACATTATATCCAACACTTCCTGAAACGGCAAGGGAAAATCCAAGCAATCCTAAGACAGTAAGTCTATGGACCACGTCGGTAGCACGAACGGAAAATGGAATCTTAGACATAAGGAGCTAATGTGAAGTGTGTAGTTTCTATTAATGAAGCTTCTGTTGGTTAGTCAGGCTGTTTCTTATAGCTGAAAAATTAAATGATAAAAATATGATGCGACGTTATATGCAGGTGTGATATCTTCAAATCATTATACTGGGTAGGCGTTTGAGCTTAGATTATAAAAGGAACTCAGAACTAAGGAGTACGTGATTCGATGATGCGCCTTTTGCATCTTCCTACATGCAATCTTTAGTTTGTTTTGCATATATAAACTTCTACTGAAATTGACGATATCCGGCTTAGAAATCGTAATACCATCGTAGTACTGTGCCCAATTTCCTCTCATTCGGTTTGTTACAAACGAAGCAATGTATATAATTACTTTTTTATTCTATTCTATATAATACACGAAAGAGTTCAAGGCACGGATTATCTAATAAAGAATTCCACTGTGCTTTCACTCTTATATAAGAATTTCTAACCATTTCTCATTCAAAATCCCACTATCCACCAAGCCCGGGTTTGCATAGATTAAGTCTTTCATCCATGAATTTTCGTATCGGAATATACCGTGAGCATGTTCCAGATCTTCTTCAGTTGTGTTCAGTAAAACATATTCCAACAATTCGCTACTGATTAAGTTCAAAATTGGCAATTGGTCTTTTCTGAAAACAAATGGGTGCTGTTGTTGTTGAGCTTGTAGTATAATCAGATTGATAGCATTCAAGTTATGGTGGAATTTCCCATGATCTACATGTCCCACAGGTAAACTAGAATTTGTCGAATGTTGTTCAATTTCAAGTGACTGCACCAGAGGCTTTTGTCTTAAAGCATCGTAGTTCCCGACATCAATATTAACCACAAACTGTCTAGGTTGGATGCCCTTGATTATGAATTTACGTTTAGGTGCACCATCCACTGCATCAGTATTCACCACCATGGCTTGAGAGTGTGGGAAAGCAGCACTTACATTTTTAATGAAGTCTACAGCTGGGAGCAATTTGGGATATTTCACATCCTTCTCTTGGGATGGTTGCCACACCTTTTCAAACTGTTTTTCATAAGCCTTCCACAACGATATTTGAGTGACTTCACCAGGAATTGGGACACCTCCCGTAGCACCTCCTGCTGCTGATGATTGTTTTGAATTGTCATCTACATTATATTCTTGGTATACTGGCTCGTAACAGCATCTGAGCCATGTAGATGCTCTTAATGGTTCGTGAAACTTGACTATAACGTCATAAAGTTCCGTCGTAAGCGATGGGATAATTGTGGGTACACTAGAATGGAGTGCCCTCCTGCTTAATATAGTAGGTGGAAGGTTTGGGATATCAGTGGGGATGTTTAATGGAAGACTTTGGAGAATAAGCTGAGGAAGCGATTGAATTAAGATCTTCAAGGAATCACTCGATTCAATTAATTGGTTTAACCGGTATTGCTGGGAGTCTTGTACCGTTGGGTAACTGGCATTAAGTGCTTCTGATGAAAGGTATTGTTTGAGGAATTGGATTATTGCGAAATTTAATTCAGAGTCATTTAAAAGGAGATACTGTGTTATTTTGTGGAGGGTAGATTTGGGGATCGAATCGATACAATTCAGCTTAATTGGGGTAGGGTCTCTGCTTGAATCATCGGCGCTCGCGGCGGCGCTGCTGAGACCAGTTGCAGCTTCTTCCAAAGCAGCTGAATGTCCCTTGATGATCAATAAGTTACCCAAACTCTTCAATACTCCTAATATAACCCCCTTGTCTTTTGATTCTTCCAAAATAATCAACATTTCCTTGAACAAAGCATCGTTCTTCCCGTTGTCAACCCAGTAGCAACTCAACGTCTCCACTAAGTCTAACAAGTATCCGAAGACTTCGTGGTATCTGTTTATGTTCAGTAATACACTCACAGATAAATCCTTGCCTAGCAATAACCAATTTACTAACTGTTTCAACACGGTCACTATTGTTTTCTTCAAGTTTTTCACTTGAGATAACCATTGCTGGTTAATAAGGTCTTGTGAGGCATTCCTCAAGGTTAACACAGAATCAAGAGCAAATGTGAGCTCCATCTCACTGATCTGATTACCATTGGACCCACGGAAAGGGTTGGTGAACCATTTAATAAGTTCATTACCGAGTACAGGAAACTTTTCAAAGTTTATTAAATTGGGCAGTGAAAGTGAAAGAGAACACAAGGTGGTCAATGCCCAGCGAATCTCCGAATCAATGCCGGATCTGAACGACATGAACACTCTGGACATCACGTTGGGTCCTAGATTTCCCGAACCAAGCAACTGTGTGGAATATGAGTAGTTTGAGGATGTACCATAGTTCGGGTTGTATCCGTTCCCATTTGGGTAATATATTCCGTTCCCAGTGGGTCCGCCAACACCCAACGACGATTTTTTTGCCGAAGTCGACGAAACAGGGGTAAACGCTGGCATCTTCTATTTGTGGTGTGTCGGTACTCCAAGACTACGATGCAAATGATGATCAGGGGAGATGTGATGCTAAACTGTAGCTCTTTCTTGAAGAGAGTGCTCGGTCTGTGGTTGTTTTCTTTCGTCTGTGGTGAAGAGAAAATTCGCAAGTCGTGTTTTGGTAACTGCACGACCTCGTTTGGTGCAAGGGTGCGGTAGATGGATGTTATGGGGTGGTAGAAGCAGGCGAAAGGCAGGTGCAAGATAAGGTGAGCAATGGGTTTCATTTAAGGGTTGGTTCGGAGATTACTTAGGGTTGCTTAAATGATAGAAAAGAAGAAGTACAAATAAATAATCAAAAAAAGGGAGAGAGTTCTCAAACTAGCCAGAGTAATCACCTTAGTTACATCACTTAGTGCTGCATAATTGCACAGATGAGAAAAAATACTCTAGCGATAAAATATATCTGGATCTCTTGAGATTATTGTTATGTAACTCGAGCAAGCAGCAGTTTTTTCTACAGATCTTCTCCTACACTGTGAGAGATGATACACACCAGAAAGGTAGCCAATCCTAATGTAAACACCACCCATATATGTATATATTTCTTGAATTGAATTGTTTTTGCTCACCTGCTCTCTCTACAAAGCACTGCCTACCCTATTGCAACCTCTTTCAGCACTGCATACTGCTGTGCCGCTCACCGATAAGGTGCGAATTTTTGACTAACAATACGGTTAAGCCGATTTTTAGTGACCCCCCACTCCTATTACCTTATCTCACACAGAGAGCCGGTTTTGTTTTTCTGTGATATTGTATATATACTTCATATAAATATATGGAATAAGTGCCTCTCGTTTGCCTCTTACTTTCTTCCCCAGTTCTGCTGTTTTACCCACTCAATTGTGCAGCAATGAAGTTACTAGCTCTCTTAGCATTAGCTGCCTCGGTGTCTGGGTTCTCTCTTGGGAACCTCAAAGACGTTCAATCCCCACTCCTTAACGCTGCTGGTGCCGGTTCGGACGCAGAAGTCCTCGCTGGTCTCAAATTTCAATTCCCATCGGAAATGCAATCACTTTCCAAGGAAAACCAAGAATTGATGATCGAAAGCTGGGCTCAATTGCAAAATGAACACTCCTTAGACAAATTGCAAAGCAAGGTTACTCAATACTTGAAACTGAGAAAACCTGTTTCTTCTAAAAATTTAAACAATAAACTTAAGAATTTTGAGACTTTCTCCGCTAGTGTTAACAACTTCGAGATTTTCACCTCATCCGACTCCAAGTTCGACAACTATGCACTTAGAGTTAAAGAAAACTCGCCAGAAATCTTGGGTTTAGATTCGGTCAAGCAATTTACTGGTTACTTAGATATTAAAGATGTTGACAAGCATTTCTTCTATTGGTTTTTCGAATCCAGAAATGACCCAGAAAACGATCCTGTCATTCTTTGGCTCAATGGTGGACCAGGCTGCTCTTCCTCCACTGGGTTGTTCTTCGAGTTAGGTCCTTCCCTGATTAATGCGGAATTGCGTCCTGTATACAACCCATACTCCTGGAACACCAATGCTTCAGTTATCTTTTTGGACCAGCCTGTCGGAGTTGGCTACAGTTATACTGGAGGAGAAGAGGTCAAAAATACCGCCACTGCTGCCAAAGATACCTATGTCTTCTTAGAATTATTCTTTCAAAAGTTTCCACAGTTCCTTAAGAATAAATTCCACATTGCTGGAGAACTGTATGCAGGCCACTATATTCCCCAATTTGCAAGTGAAATCATAAACCAGGCTGACAGGTCTTTTGAATTAAGTTCCGTGTTGATCGGAAATGGTATCACCGACTCCTTAATCCAATATGCTTACTACAGGCCAATGGCATGTGGGGAAGGTGGATACCCACAGGTGATTACCGACGAAGAATGTGACAGGATGGATTCGCAATATCCAAAATGTAAGCTTTTGACTCAACTCTGTTACAAAAGCCCCTCCGCCTTAACATGTGTTCCATCTACCGTATACTGCGAAGGTATGATGAAGCCATATGAGGATACTGGATTGAATCCATACGATATTCGTAGAAAATGTGAAGATGAGGGTGGTAACTGTTACGTGGAAATGGACTACATGGATGATTACTTGAATTCAGAATTCGTCAAAAATGCAGTAGGTGCTTCAAATATCGACATTTTCACCCTGTGTGATGACACTGTCTTTAGAAACTTCATTTTAGACGGTGATGAAACTAAACCTTTCCAACAATTTGTAGCAGAATTGTTAGAGAATGATGTCCCAGTCTTACTATATGCAGGAGACAAAGACTACATTTGCAACTGGTTAGGTAACCATGCATGGAGTGATGCATTGGAATACAGCAACCATGAACAGTTTGCTAGTGAAAAGTTGAAGGATTGGGTAACCTTGGCCGGCAAGAAAGCTGGAGAAGTGAAGAACTATGGTATCTTCACATTCCTTCGAATTTACGATGCTGGACACATGGTTCCATATGACCAGCCAGAAAATGCCTTAGATATGGTGAACAGATGGATCAGTGGAGATTATGCCTTCAGCAAGACCAAATAAAAAGATTTTGAAATAAAAAGAATTATCTATGTCCAAAATGAAATAAAATTACAATGCAATACGATAGAATAGAACATGACTGCATATGTAGAGTTGTACAGCGCTTGTAGTAGAAATAGCGACCAATGAGATGAAATCTGGTAACCGTTGAGATCAAGTTTTCTTTCTTTTTCTTTTTCTATTTCTTTTTTTTTTTTTATTGTTTCATCTCATTTTATCTTCCTCCTACTGATGCTGGTCTCTTGGATGTACGTATGCGCTACCAAAAAGGAAATCTGTACCGCCAACTGAATTATCTGATCAATTAAATGCCACAATGAAGAAGAGACAAATACGAAGCTAAAGAGTTATCTAATCATGATTGAATTCGACAAATAAGAACTGAACATGTACTTCAGACAATATGGTTGGGTGCTGAGTTGAGCTCAATCTGCGGGAAGGATCTCCATTTAAAAGCCATTATCAAAAGTAAAATTTAAACACAGAAAGAAGACAAACAAATGTCATGGAAATAAGAGCATACAATTCATAAACTGGCAAGAATCATAGAGTACAAAAGCACTAAATCTCACTATCTTATAGCTTCACACAGTTGTTACTTAGTGAAAATTTTAGATCGAGTTTAAAATTCCGTTAACCATTGCACTGCGAAATAAAGTTTGTAGGCTATTCGCTTAAAATCTTTTGCAGCGAGCTCTTATCATTTCCGGATTGGGGTTTCCATTGGGCATTTCCCCTTATCTTGCATGAGCAATACAGAAAAATATTTTTGATACTTGCCAAATAACCACTCCAGAGCATTCTTGAAAATTGGATCCAAGTAGATATATATAAATAAAAACTCTATTCCAGCTGATAATTGTGTGTTAGATCTTGATTTGTTCAGCAGAATCAAAAAAGAAAAGAATCAGAAACATGCCAGAGCTTCATCCTGTTCTCTCTGGAGAGCAGATCTTGGAGCAAGTAGTATCTAACAAGAAGTACTTCAACAATACGCAGAATGTAGAAGAACCAGATATTAATGCAATCATGTCCAGTTCGGATAATGCGCTTTTAGCAGAAATCGGGTATAAGGCTGAATTGACTAGAAACTTCTCAACGTTACAGGTTTTCGGTGTCGCTTTTTCTATCATGGGGCTACTCCCTTCCATTGCGTCAGTTACTGCAACGGCTTTAACTGCAGGTCCTGCCGGTGCTCTCTGGGGATGGATCATAGCGTCGCTTTTCATCTTAACTATCGGTGTCGGTATGGCCGAATTGGGGTCTGCTATGCCTACTTCGGGTGGGTTATACTACTGGACTAACTATTTTAGTCCACCCAAATATAAGACCGTTATCTCATACTTGGTCGGAAACACCAACTCAATTGCCCTTGTTGGTGCCTTATGTAGTGTTGACTACGGATTCGCACAGGAAGTCTTGAGTATTGTGGTGATTGCAAAAGATGGTGATTTCACGTTGACCCCAGCCAAAAATTATGGTGTTTTCGTTGCTTGTGTTGTGGCCCATATTTTCGTTACGTGTGCTTCCTCGAAACACATTTCCAAATTGCAAACTGCTTCAATTATCGTTAACATACTTATCATTGTATTGTACATTATCGCCCTTCCAATTGGAGCTAGCCCAAATTTCAAAGATGGGAAATACATTTTTGGTCAATTAGATAATTACTCTACATGGCCAAAGGGTTGGCAATTTGTACTCTCCTGGATGCCAGCAATCTGGACTATTGGCGCCTTTGATAGTTGTGTTCATATGTCTGAAGAAGCTCATAATGCCACAAGGTCTATTCCAATTGGTATTTTGGGTTCCATCACTACTTGCTTCGTTCTTGGTACTGTTATTATTATTGTGACCACGGCATGCATTCAAACCGATGACATTGCTGGACATATTATTGGAACTGATCTCGGCCAACCTATGGCTCAAATCATTTACGATGCTTTGGGAAAAAAGTGGGCCATTGCTTTCATGATTTTGATCGCCATTGCTCAATTTATGATGGGTGCCTCTATCTTAACAGCGATCTCTAGACAAATCTGGGCATTTGCTAGAGATAATGGTTTACCATTCTCCTTTTGGATAAAGAAAGTTAACAAAAAGTTATCAGTCCCAATCAATGCAGTTTGGTTTGGTGGTATTGTTGCCATCTTAATAGGTTGTTTGTGTCTTATCGGACCTGCAGGGTCCAATGCACTTTTCTCTTTATACATTGCTGGGAATTACTTTGCTTGGGGGACTCCAATCTTTTTCAGATTGACAACTGGTAGAAGTAAGTTCAAGCCTGGTCCATTTTATTTAGGGAAATTTTGGTCTCCTGTTATTAGTTGGACTGCTGTCGCCTTTATTGTATTTGTAATTATTATGGTTATGTTCCCAGCAGGTGTAAACCCTGACAGGGAGACAATGAACTACACCTGTGTCATCACACCAGGGGTTTGGATCCTTTCACTTGTTTACTACATGGTATATGCTCACAAAAACTACCACGGTCCTTGTAAGACTGTGGATATTGATGAAAGCGAAGGAATTTCTATCGAGGGAATTGATGCTGCATTGGACGAAGAAGAAAGATCAAATGAGAAAGCCTGAAGTTCTTAAGAGGAAATATATGGGATAATTTAGTTCAAGAATATACAGAAACATTTTTAATTATTATTTATTTGTTTACATTTTGAATAAAGAGTTTAAGTGAATAATCAATCAATCAATCAATCAAAAAGAGTTGTATTCCACTAGGAGAGTTGCATATCTTAACAGGCCTCCTCTTAGAGCTTATCGCAAATACTGCATAACTGCAGCATTTAGTAGGGCTCAGCCCTAAGAGACACGTGACAAACATCTGAACACGACGAATTTTCTTTTAGTTAAATTTTTTTTCAGGCCCATCTCTTTTGCAGCACTGCGAAATTTTTCAATAAATTGGAACGTTTTTTCCCCCCAAATTAAATTTCATATTTCTGTTTCTCTTCTTTTTTCTCTTCATTCAACAATCGAAAATGGCTGCGTATGTAATACTTATACGGAAGTCTGATGTAGGAAAGCTGCAGTGCTAGTACCAAGTGGCTTCGAGTCCAGGTTGTCTTTCCGAATAACTAGTTATTTGGCTTGACGGTACTGTTAGTAATTACCTTGGGAAATTCAGATTATCTTGCAGAAGTGGAGCTATTTTTCAATAGCTTCTACACAAAAACTCAATTTTGCTAATGCCTGATATATCTGTTTTCCTCTGAGTATACTGATTCTGATTTTTTCTTTCAAATTGTGGTATTGAATGAACGTAGCTGTTCAGTTCTTTGACCGAGTACAATCCTTTCCGGAACTTGTACAGCATTTTGAAGAAAGTTAAAATGAAAAGGGTGGAATAAATTTGACTTTTTTTCACTTTCAGTAATTTTTTATGAAAATTTGGATGAAAATTATCTTAGAAGGAAAATGGGTAGTATTGGCAAGAATAAAGTTTTTGAACCAATACAATAATATATTTACTAACATTCAATTATAGTGCATTAAAACCAGAAACTCAAGTCAAGAAGGCTAAGACCGACGCTAAGATCTTAGAAAAGAGAGCCGCTGACAAGGCTGCTCGTAAGGTTGTATGTATCCATGATCAAAGAAAATACCTTTTCCTTTTCCTTTGATAATTTGTTTAACCTCTAATTATTTGCCTTGATCATTTTTTTGATGATGATTTCTTACCAATGATTTGACTAGCTAACGCAATGTTGTCTATCGTTAACCATCTTTCGGGACTGACCAATCAATTGTCAAGGGCAATAAAGATACTGAAGATTCTTCTTCAAAACTCTCTCTAAGAAATTTCCAAAAAATTGAAATACTAACTATATGACAGACTTCTGCTGAAAAGAGAAAGACCATCTTTGACAGAGCTGCTGCTTACCAAAAGGAATACACTGAAGCTGAACGTTCAGTTATCCAAGCTAAGAGAGACGCTAAGGCTTCCGGTTCTTACTACGTTGACGCTCAAGAAAAGTTAGTTTTCATTGTCAGAATCAAGGGTATCATGAAGATTCCACCTAAGCCAAGAAAGGTTTTGCAATTATTAAGATTGACCCAAATTAACGCTGGTGTTTTTGTCAGATTAACCAAGGCCACTTCTGAATTAATTAAGTTAGCTGAACCATACATTGCTTACGGTTACCCATCTTTGTCTACTATCAGACAATTACTTTACAAGAGAGGTTACGGTAAGATCAACAAGCAAAGAATTGCTTTGACTGACAACGCTATCGTTGAAGCCAACTTAGGTAAGTACGGTATCTTATCTATCGAAGATTTGATTCACGAAATCTACACTGTTGGTCCAAACTTCAAGCAAGTCAACAACTTCTTATGGCCATTCAAGCTTTCTAACCCTAACGGTGGTTTCAGAGCTAGAAAGTTCCAACACTTTATCCAAGGTGGTGACTTCGGTAACAGAGAAGAATTCATCAACGCTTTAGTTAAGCAAATGAACTAAATTCATTCGCCTTGAATGACAATAATTGAATTGCAAAACTTGAGTTTATTTCTACAGGTAATTACTCTTTTGTATGTATTATGTAATAAACAAAGAGAAGTTTCCTTTTTTAGTTTTGGTTTTTATACGGATAATTAATGGTAATATTATGCATTGATGTAAGACGATAAACCCTTTTAACTACTCTAGCCAGTCGCTTAAATTATAAACCCAATACTCCAACCATTGTATCTCCTTCCACCATTGGAAATAGATGCAGCTCTTCGAAGACATACCATCTTCGTGCATCACGTAGGATTCAAAATTTTCTCCACCATCGCCAGCAGATGCTAAATAAACCAAGAAGAAGAGAACCAACTTCAATAGATTAAGAATAAGTATCGTTGCTAGAACCAATGTCGCAAGATCAATTGCAAGAGAACTCCAAGTGTGCGTTTGGCTCTGGTGAGTTTTGTGCTCTTGGTATTGTTTTATGAAGGGGAGATTATGCATAAATGTAGCAAGTTGGTTCGTCTTCAGAGGGTTTGCATCATTCTCTGATAACTGTAAGTTTGATTTTATATTTTGAATTAGGTTATCTTGCACTTTTATGGCTGAAGTTAATCGATTCACAAGCAAAGGGTAATCGGAATTGGGTATGTCACTGAGTTTATTGAGAAGGTCGTCTGTGTTTTCGGCTTTCCTCTCATACTTTGCATCTTTTGGCAGATATTTACCAGCGGCATAGTCACTTGATCTTCTGTGAGTAAATCTGGGTTCTATCGAGCGCGAAGTGTATTTGGAATCCCGACTTGGCATATTTCTGTTCATGTCCCATCGCTGAGTATTCTCCTGTTTGAGATACGTAGAAGTGTTTGCTCCCTTATCTGAATATGGTCGACCCGGAGGTGAGCCACTTCTATTACTGAATGCATATTGACTGCTTAAAGGAGTCATTGGACTTCTTTTTTCTATTCCTAAGGCTTTCATTAATTCAAAATGATTTACATGCAATCGATCAGTGAGTAGTCCAGTCAAACTGTTAGCAGATACCAATTTCAATAGAAACGGCTGCAATTCCGGATAATAGAATTTGAGCTTGGGATTTGCATCACTCATTTGCGATATAGTGGACATCTCATCGCTATTTAGTAAACTTTTTGATGGTGTTATTAAAAGACGAGATTGGAACTGAGAGATGAGATTCGTGATTTGAGGAAAGTATATGAAACTGTTTTGCAAACTTACCAGGTTCCATGATTCTTCCAAGAGGTCATTGATCCGATTTTCTAGCGCAATATCGGACATGTCGAGATATATATATATATATATATGTAATGCTTCAGTTACTTCTACCTTTACTTTGCCTTAGCTATTGGCTACACGAGTGTGTTTTGTACTTCCAGTAAAAAGAAAGAACTGTTGAAATTCTCGAAAGACTATTGGGTTCAATTACGTTCACTGATAATAGTCTATTTCCCAAGAAACAAGTTCGATGTTTCGAGACCTTGGCTCTACAACCAAATCAGATTATTATGTTACAGTATAGACTTCTCTTATTAGGGTGAAGGCTATATTTCACCGCCTATACAGCTCAAGTTGTCCCAGTGAAAAGTAAATAAACTGGGAAATTGATTTTTTATTTACTATCAAATCGCGTTTGTACTGCATATTGCGGATTGCTGCATAATTTTCAAGCATATTTGCAGCCATTTCTCAACTGGTACTCTCACAACTATCAAGTCAAATTCTACGCTCACTCAGTCCAAGCTCTACGTCTCATAGTTATATTTAAGTCTATCATTGCCTTTTATTATATTTTATTTACACCTGCTCTAAGGCATTATTGGTTATTTTTCTGTTTCTGGTGCAGAAACTATGCTTGTAAAATGTTGTACATCGGGCTCTGACTTTTCAGAATGCAATTGATTTTCTTTTTTCGGATTATCTTCATATGTAGTGCTTTCGACTTCACTGTTGTATTCTGGGACTACAACTTGACCATTCACAGCTGATGCAGGTGATCGACTAGCTTTTTCACGCAACGTCTCATCATTATACTCTCTCTTGTCATCTGGCTTAAATGAAATATTTGCAGATTCAACAATAGTCTGTGGTGCCGCAGATTCTTCTTCAATTGAAGATACATTTTTCAATAAAGATCTTGGTTTTAATTGAGATTCTTCTTCCAAAGGAGATTCTTCTTTCATTGGGGAGTCTCTCTGAGGAGAAATTTTTCCTAGGTTTTCCGACTCAGAACCAGTATTAATCGCCTGCACTTTTGCATCTTCGTCTATACTTTGAGGGGCGACTGCATCAAGTTGGTCATCTTTAATCTTCTCATCCACATCATCCACATTACCATTTGAATGCTGTTCAAGTGGTTGAGTTTTAGACGACTCCTTAGAATCAAACAAGTTCTTAGCTTCCAATTGCTCTTCTTTGACTAAATCTCTGAGAATATGTAAAGCCTTAATGAAAAATTCATCTAAATTGATACTAGCTCCGTATGCCTTCCTTAATATAAACCGTACTTTATCAATTTTATGCATTATGGAAGAACCTTTTCCATCACCCTTTTCAATACCTTCTAAGTATTCCGTGAAGTTAAGAGAAGCATTTTCACATTTCTTTGTGAATTCTCTTATTTTATTTAAATCGCCAGGTAATACTAACATGTTTTCTCCCGTCTTCACCATTGTATGAAGTTCTGATAATTTAATTTTACTTTTGATATTATCATCCTCCTCTAATTCCAGATTATTAGTGAGTTCACAAAATGGACAAGCATAATAGTCAGAATCTTCAAGATCTGCCTTCTCAGATTCCTGAATACATTGTATATGATACCATTCTTTGCAAATATCACATCCAATCATTGTGCCAGCTTCAGGTTCTCTACATACACAGTAAATTGGAGGAAGATCTTCCCCATTAGTTTCATCAGTTGAAATATCGCCTTCTTCTTCCCTCAATGTATTGTACGAAGAGCTATGTTGATACTTATCGTCTTCAAAGGAAAAGTTAAAATCATTTTTTACTTCAAAAGCCTCTACCAAGATACTTATATTCGGCTTCGTTGTGTTAGACGTATCCTTACCTTTTTGGATTGTGGAGCGGAAACTATTCCCAATTTTAAATCGATTCAAAATACCTTCAGTCCAAGTTTCTGTTTTATTCAACTGAGCCTTGATTAATTCGACTTCAAAGTTGAGTCCAGACTCTAAGAGGGTTGTTAGAAGAAGATTAATTTCAGAAGATTTGTACGATTTTCTTTTTTCTGCAACAATATCTGATTTAACTTCCAAGTATTTTTCAATTAAATTGAGATTTTCTCTAATCTTCATCAAGTGTTCATGGTTAGTAGAATCAAGGAATATTGATTCAGTTTCATATTCTGTCAGTATTCTCTGAAGTTCATCCAAAGATATATCACTAATTGTGTTATATGAAAGGAACTCTGAAACTTGTTCATTGAAGATTTTACTCTTAGTTATCATTTTTAAAACTTCTCTGTAATCATCTAAATCTTCTTCTCCTAAAATACCTTCACCTTTATCGGAAAATGCCCTCAAATCATCTATGGAGAATGCCTTATTATTCTCTTTACCTCTTCTTTTGATTGGGTCACCACCTGATTTCAAGACCTCAAAATGATCCATCCAAACTATTCTTTCTCTCAATCTTGTCAAGAATGATAAGGTCGGTAAATTAACTCCAAAGGATTCACCCAAGGAAATGAGATCATCGAATTCTTGAATTGAGTTTTTACTACCCGCTTTCAAGAAACTACGACTTGCTCTTTCGAAATTTTCAATTTCAGTTTTTAGTTCTAAGATTTGGTCTGCCTCAGGACATACAAAGTTTAAAGTCGGAATCTGGTCAAGTAAGCAAACTAACTTTTGAAGAGTTTCATCCGATTGAGGTTTCTCAGACTCAGAGTAGCTGAGAGATGCATTGCCGGTCCTCTTTCCCCTTATCCTTTGCTGATGCTTAACAGATAATACCTTTTGACATTCTTCCACAAATTCATTAGCTACTTCAACAAAACTTCGCAAGTTTTCAACATATCCGACAAATTTAATATATTCAGGGCTGTTTTCGTCACCAGTTTTATTGAAAAAAGCAGCAGAAGTTGCAGACAATATTTTCTCTCCATCTGCAAGAAGCCCTTTCAAAGACTTAATTGGGAGAAGAACGTTTTCTTTCATTGCTTCTTCATATTTAGCGGTCCAAGAGCCAAAGTCTACCGAATATTCCCTTAGAATTTTATCAAAATGCCTTAATTTGTCATCAGAGCAAAATAAGTGTAACTCGACCTTAAAGTTATTCAAAAAATCTTTACATTCTAAATATCTTGAAAGTGAAAGAATAATAGACTCAGTCGGAGAGCTAATTAAGATTTTCGATGGCAATACATTCTGTAAATCATCATCACTAATTGAGTCCCCATCCACGAAGAGTTTTTCATCAACAATTTCTTTGATGTTTCTAGTAGCACTTCTGACTTTTTCTCTTAGTTCAATTTCTTCAGTATACAACTTGCCAAATACTTCCAGCGCTTTGCTGTAGACTTCCAGATCAAAGTATATTTTTTGATTACTATGGTGACTTTCTTGTAATTGAGCAAAGTTGACAAGCATTTTGAACGTCAGGAAATTAGGCAACAATAGCTGTTTGTTTATCCATTTCTCGCCCTCAATGGCATAATCGAGCCAATTCGAAGTCGCAAAGTTTACCTCCTCACTTAAGTTCAATCCAAAGGAAATTGTAGAAGAATAAGTTTTGGGAAACTTAATAATGAACTCACCAGGTTTTTGTATTGTATAGTTATACCTAATCCCGTGTTTGTCTAAAATCAGCGGATTTATGAAACAATCTTGGTTTAATGTGATTACTGAGTTTTGAGATCTCTTCTTACGCTGAATGTCAATCAATTCCTGAAACTTTTCATTGGTGTGCTTCAACCTGATACTGTCCAGATATGGAGGAATCATATTTTCCAATGAGCTGATCAAAGCTTCAGTTTCAATATTATTGCAATCGGCCTGACCGCTGAAATACTTCATTAAATTGTCGTAATTCCATTCATTATTGTTAACATGAATTCGAGTTTCTTTAGAATTTATTTCTGAAATCAAATTTTCAAAATTTTCAAATTCCAGCTCAGGAATGAAGTACCATTTCTTGTATCCACCAAAAAATTGGTAATTAATGAGCTGAGTCAAATGATCTTCTGCTCTCCAATTTTCAGTACTAAATGTCATTCCAATGTTCAAAGTGGGCGTGTACAAGTCTTGATTGTGAATGTCATCTGATCCAAGGACACCAAGTAAGGAATTTGGGAGAATTGGTAAATTGTGCAAATTCCAAGGGTTCAATGAGGACTTTATCATTTTTGCACAATAGTCTGAAGAATTGTAGTATGAGCCATCAAAGCCACTACTAGTAGACGTTGCCGATGTGTTGGGGAGGGAGCTCGACTTAATTCCATTCTGCATTGAATTATCAACAGCAGAAGTGGCTGTAGTAGAATGTGAAGTAGAATTAGCAATGCTACTAGCAGCTGAACCGTTAGTACTTGGTGTAGCAATAGCAGAAACAGCTGAAGTGGGAAGTGCAGCTTGTGAAACTGAAGGTTGAGTGACGTTTACAAGAATATTTTTGTAATTCAACAAATCATCACCTAAACGAACGAATCCAGACCCATTTACCAAACTAGGTAGACAAACTCCATTTTCAAGCTCTAAGCCTTCCTGAAGTACATCGAAGTCACCTCCTTCACTCGGTGAGTTTGATACAAATTTCCAGTACATTTCTTCTAATTTGTCGATCGGTATCACATTTTTTTCTACCGAAACAGAATTAGATGGAGTAGGAGGCGGAATCGATTTGGCTTCTTTCTCAACCAAATTTGTTTCCTTGACTTCCATAGAGTTAAAGTATGAAAATTTGGAAGAAGGCACAGATGAAGGACTTGATGGAGTCGATAAAGTACCAGCATTTCCATTAATAGAAGAACCATTTAATGGAACCTTATTGAAACAGGAAATATTCTTTTGTATTAAAAATTCTTGAAATTTTAAATCCTTTTCCATAAATTGTCTTAGCGTGTATACTGAAGAGAATTTACCATTGGATGTCGTCTGCAGTGCATCTTGAACACCAGAATTTTCGATCAATGCCTGTAGGGATTGGTTTAGCTGTGCTTGAGCAGTTATTGGAATACACTGATCTGAATTAGAATTCGGAGCAGGCTTCGATCTTTTCCTTTTGAGATTTTGTTTACTTGAATTGGATGATAAGTTTGCTAACGCTCCTGGGGATACTGGAGCAGGTGATTCTTCTTCCTGTGCCACTCTCTTGCTGGAAATGGTATTTGGTTGTTTAACATCCGTCAAGTGGGGCGAGTTTAGTAAGAAACCCTTGTCAACCTTCAACCTTACTGAACGTTTAAATGTCTTCAGCGATCCTATGATTAGGGGAGTATCACTGTTGAATTGACGCTTCTTGGTGAGTGGTTTAATTTCCTCCGTTTCCTCTTCTTCAACTTCGTTCTTTTTACCTAGAAAGTCAAACTTCTTTCTTCCTAAGTACGTCTCAAAGGGATAAAGTATTTTCATATATGAAGACTTAAGAGAGCTACTCAAACTTGTCATAATTTTACCACGATATCCCAATTCACGACCAATTTGAGCCCAAAGTTTCTTGTTGATCACTTCAACAAACCCTCCTCTCATTAAAACTGAACGGAAAAGTTTATATAAGTCGAGCGGGCGTTTGTCAATCATCGGAAGTTTATTTAGGAAAGATGGTAGCTGATTTTTTTTAGGCTTGGGCAGTTGGGTCAGTGGTGAAGGAATTGAGGAATCTAGCGCCTGTTCTGAAGCAATCTGACCAGCAGGCACTGCAGTGGGTGCTATTATTTGCACTAAGGAGGTTCCATTTTTTCCAGGAATACTATTAGAAGCACTTTCAATTGGTTCCTCTTTCAACAGAACTAGACCAACTCCAACTTTGTCTTCCAATTTTGTCTCAGGCTCTATATTTGATTCAACGCTACGTGAATTTATGATTTCAGCTGAGTTATTTCCGTTTTCAATATGCTTTTCTATGGAATGGTCATTCCTGGTCGATGCCGGGCTCGAATTGTCTTCCGTAATCGCCAGAGGTATTTCAGATTTTGCCATATTTTCTTTGTCTTCAACTACACCGATCTTTTCTTCAGCTGGGGGTCCAGATTTAGCGGTAGCATTTATTGGCGTCCCACTATTTCTAGAAAGCGTTCCGTTACGCTCTTCTACTTCTAGTTTTACTGAACCGAGGTGTTCATCACTCATGGAAGTATCAGTAGAAGATTTTACTTCAGTGCTATCGTGCTGTACTACACCAATTGGAGCAGGCAGCTGATTTTTCAGTACTTCCGCTGAGAATGGTTCACCTCTCATAACAGCACTCAGGTTTGACAAACTTGGGCTAGGACTACTTTCTGACTTCAAATTAAGCAAGTGAAATTTAATTAATTGCTGATGAAACTTTAGCCTGTTATCCAACTCATCGCCATCTGGATTATTCAATAACCTGTTTGTTTGAAACCAAAATAAATCAGCATTTATCTGAAAATTCGATTTAAACGATGTTTCATCAAAATTTCTTGTGCTCGAATTTGAGGATGAGGAAGAGGCTGGAGCCGGGGGAACGGAGGATGCAGTGGATGTACTAGGAGTAGCAGTAGGAAGAGGAGGTGAAGGAATAGGTGCTGTCACTGGTTTGGTCGACAGTATGGACTTCGGGGGTATCACCTTCACAGCTCCATATTTTTTTCCCAACTCACTTATACTTTCTATAAATTTTATTGGATTTAAGTACTGTTCTTGATTAAGTTCAATAGATGGGATCGCATTACTCATTGGATCATTCCCCAGCGATGGCTGTTCAATTGTAATCCTGTTCTGAAGATGGAAGAAATCTACCGGCAAATTCAGTTTAGTCTTCTGCTGTGGATATGAATATGGGTTATAATTTACGTTAGACAGTTGATTATTTATCAACGTTTGTCTATTACCATTGGAAGATTGAATATGTACATAATTTTTCATATCTGGTAGGCTGGATTGGTCAAAGAACCGGGAACTTCTCGGCGACTCATACTTTAGAGAATCGAATGACATGATATAACTAGAGTCTGTAATGTATAATATCGAATTCAGGTCGATCTTACTGACAATCTTCGATTATTATGGTAAATCTCCCCTAAGCAATAAAAGTAATTTTTTCCTTTTTTGCAGATTTCAAAATTTTCCTATGGCCCATATACATAGGAAATTTCAGATAGTGATATCAGCGCAGAAAACGAGATGGAGAATGTAGATCAGAACAATAAAAATTGTAGTAACAGTGTATTCTTAACGTAAGGATATTCTGATGGAAATCATACTGGCTTAAGAGTTGCCACTGTACTGAAGTTGAGAGGGATTCTGAGGAAATAAGGTCGATCGTGGAGATATATATCGACCTATATATATTTGTATTTACAATCAGTACCCAAAGCATCTTGTAATCATCGAAGCGCGTACGCTTGATAAAACACTATATATTTTTGTAACGACTATCATTCATGAGCAACATGAAGCCTCTCAAAGGGTTGGCGTTTTGCTGTACGTCAATTCCTGTCAAGCTCCGTGAAGAAATATCACAGAAGTTAGCTTCAATGGGCGGGATCCACTACTCAGACCTCATGAGCGACGTCAATTATCTAATTGTGGGAGATCGTAAGACCGATAAATATAACTATTGCATTAAACACAGACACGATGTTAAATTCTTGAAGCCGGAGTCCATAATAACAGTCTATAACCTCTGGCTCGAAGGTGAAGAATCCCGGGATTTGTTGGACATCAACAACTACTTGTTACCTATATTTAGTGGGTTAGTGATTTGTATGTCTAGAATCGCGTTTAGTGATAAGTATTTGCATGAAGCTTTGTTTGAACAAGATTTCCGTAAGACCACTTTAAAGAATCGTAATATCATAGGGCACTTGGAAGTCTACAACTCTGAAACCCTATCAAAGTACATTGAAGCGAATGGGGGGAAAATCACCGAATCGCTTACCATATCAAATTCCTGTGTAGTCACTACTGAGAAGAAGGGAAAGAGATACCTGAAAGCAATAGAATGGAATATCCCCGTAGTGCATCCTATATGGATATACGACTCGATGTTAAGACAAGCGGCACTTAGTTTGGATGATTATCATGTAGATTTGGAAAATAAATCTTACGTAGAAGGATGTATGGTTTGGGACAAGGTTTTTTCTATTGAAGATACCACGCAGACAAATGCCTCGTCTGCTGTGGACACAACCAAAAGTAAATTGCCTAAGACAGATATAGAAGTGATCAAACCGATTGCAGTGAACAGGAATCCGACCATCTGGAATTCGATTATGGCTCAAAAAGTATCGAAAAGTAAAGATGTAGAAGAAAACTTATGGGAGGAGAATAATCGAGAAATAAACGAAGAAGATGGAGAACAAGGGGACAATGATGAGAACGACGATAAAGAGGACAAAGAAAGAGAAGCTCTCAGGAGTACTTCGAAGCCATCGTCCATTTTTGTTGGCTTCAACTTCCTAATTGTAGGATATAACCATTCTCAAACTTCAATCTTATCCAAAGTAATTGAATCAAATGGAGGGGAGATTACTAAAGATACACAGGACTTGTCTATCACCCATGTAATTATACCATCTAACAGCGGTCGTGAATCCTCCACTGTATTAAAGACCTTACCTTCTCAGACCAGAGCCAGAATCAATAAGTCAGATATTCAAGTGGTAACGGAGTGGTTCGTGGAGAGATCAGTTTTCTACGAAAGACAAGTTTTAGATTACTGGGGAAAGCCGATTAGAGGGATTCCCCCAAATATCCCCAAGGAAAAGTCTCTAAGAATTTGCATTACAGGCTTCACTGGCATTGAACTCCTTCACATTCAAAAACTTATATCATACATGGGGTTTGAATTTTGCGAGTCGCTAACAGCCAAAAGGGATTTGATGATTGTTAATATTAATCTTTTCAAAGAAACTATATCAGAGAAGTCCCCGAAATTACTTGAATATAAATTCAAAGATATAATAGATTGTCCGGTTTATCAGGGAGAAGTGTCATTCGTGTCAAGTAAAAACAAAATAAACGCAGCCAAAAAGTGGAGCATCCCCATAGTTTCTCTTGCATATCTTTGGGAAACCTTAGAACTAACTATGAAGAAGGGTAAACTTGTGATGCCAGATATTTTAGATCTTAGATGGTGTATGTTTGTTCCCAGAAGTTACAGCAAAACCACCACATTACTGGACTACATGAAAAGTGTCGAGAAAGCTTCAATTGAGACGGACGTCACAGTCACCGAAATCCTCGAAACTTCATCATTGCCACAACTTCCTTCGCCAAGAAGAGGGTCTAAGCAAAAATTTGGGAGGATACTGGGTAGGAGTCCTAAAAAGGACGCTAATTCATCACCAACCAAAGCGACAGAGGAGGACAGACTGGATTTAACATTTGAGGAAGAGGATTTCGGTGTTGGATATGAATTGGAGACGGTTCAATTACCAAACCCAAAACGTCTACGGGCAAGTAAGAAAAAATGAATAACGAAATTCTCTGAATCAAATAAAATTGCAAGCATAAATTGGTAAATCCATACCTCCCTCAGTGTAAATCAGAGCTATTCAAGTAGGTAAATATATATTTCAAGAGGGTTTTTGAATAGAGACGAAATTCAGTAAAACAGGAAAATACAATTCTACTAATAAATATACGAAGTTAGAGCAGCTCTGTAATATAAGTTGACCATAAAGTGTATATGGGCCTTGGACCCGGGCATGTAAAGCATAATTGAGTTTCGAAACTCTTAGTTTCAAGCTCAATTGATCCTATTAGTGGCACGTATGTAACAATCGTCATGCTCTTCGCTTCACATTTCCTTTGCATTTTCTTTTTTTTCTTTCATAAAAGTAGAATGTACTGAAGATGAGCCATAGAAAGAGTTAGCCCAGCACAACAATGGTCCCATCCAGACCCCAAGAATTACCGTTCCCACTTATATTCTATTATAGAGTAGGAATAACACTGAGAGAGTTCCTAAGAACCAATTTTGCAACCATTCCGACATATAACCACTTGCAGCCTGAGTCCTGCATGTTAAATTTCACTAACAATAATATTAGGGCAAAGAAGACGAAGTGCAATAAGAGTAACGACCACCAAGGGGGTGCAATAGAAAAATTGGACCATTTCCAACGCCTCTGGAAGTCGTACCAACCCCTTCCAAATGTGAATGAACATACGACAGCCCTTCAACAGACCACCGCCAGCTACCCAGCCCCCGTAGCTCTGGAACCTTCACTTCTGCCTATACTCACACTAAGTGAGAGCTCGAGTCACGTGCCAAACAATCGGCTTACCAGTGACGAGTAAATCCCTTCTCCACGTGTGGGCATTTTTCCTCAAGCAGCCGATCCACCCAATTGCATCTCTTAACCCATAAGGTCTTCGCTCGACAAGGTACATCAATTCCACCAGTTTAAGCAATTGAGCGCTATCTGTCGACTTCTACTGTCACCTACAGTCTACGGCAGTCTAACTACACGCACAATTAACTAATACCATTCATATCCAACCATATACCCCTACAACCATCCTCCTCACCTATTCCTTCCCCATATATTGTTCTGAGGGCTTGAGCCCTAAATACAGTGACTTTCTATTGCGCACCTTCCGTTATCGTACAACCATTTTTTTTTTTTTTTTCGCTTTTTTCTTCATCTTCTCGCATTTTCTGTCGTCGCGGACGGAGCTCCTAAAATTTTTATTTAAAAAGTTTTCCTCTTTCTTTTTTTAAGAAAACTTCTTCTTTTTTCTCCTTTTTAGTACAACTACATCTATACATATTCAAAATGGGTAAGGAAAAGACTCACGTTAACGTCGTCGTCATTGGTCACGTCGATTCTGGTAAATCTACCACCACCGGTCACTTGATTTTCAAGTGTGGTGGTATTGACAAGAGAACTATCGAAAAGTTCGAAAAGGAAGCCGCTGAATT